GGGGAAGGTAGCGGGGCAAAACAGCCTCTGTGCCTACGTTTCTTTGGAGTCTGAGTCTGATTTCAGGAGTGTTTTTTTTCTCTCTCCCTGTAGTCTGTTTTTAGCAGATCTGTATATTACAAATGTGACTTACCTTATGGGAGAATAAAAAAGGATGCCGTTATCCCTAATTTAAAGTAAGCAACCAGACCTATGTCTATAGTATAAAGCAGGACAAAAATAAGGGAGTGTTAGCTCTGGAAGCTGGTGTGTCACAGCAAAGATTTTCTCTGTAATTACAAGTCTCAGCAAGGGCCAGGCAAGTGCTAATTGGAGAATGTGTTGATTACCGGTCCTCTGCTGCGTGCTGGGCAGCCTGTTTGTGGTGCAGTGGGATACCTACCCCAGGGCGGAGGGCACTTTGGGCAGACTTAGCAGCCACCTCCCCATAAGGAGGACAGGGTGAACAGGTCCAAGCTCTGTGTGTTTTAGTAATTGTGCTCCTGACCCCCTAACCTTGGAGCCTTTGTGTCCTGCGACAGGAAAAGCAGATACACAACTTCTGGGGTGCCCAGCTCTGCAGCCCAGCCCCATGCCATGAGCTCCTCCCTAGGTTTTACTCGTGTGTTGTAGGTGTTCAGGACGCGCTGCTTCATAATTTTGCTGGAAGACCGTCTGCTGCCCTGGAAGGGGTGCGAGTTGGCTATTACTTTTCTTTTCCTCCAGCTGTCACAAGGCATAACCAGGTTAGTCCTTGCTGAGTTCCTGGGAGCCCTTTCACTTTCCCTGGGTTGTGACTGTGTTGCACCAGCCCTGGCCTTTTGCCTTCTCCTCCCTTCCCAGCTTTCATTCTTCAGTTCCTGAGCCACTGCAGGAGGCAAAGGAAACATGCCAGCCAGTGCCCTTCTGCGCTGCTTTGCCATTTTCCCSGTTGGAAAGAAAATAAAATATGAGGAATATTGGAAAAAGCTTGAGAGACCCCATATAGCAACTTGAATCCATCTGTGCCTGTGCAATGTCCTGTCGTGCCTCTCTGCAGCACTTTCACCAGAATGTTAAAATAACCAGTGTCTTTTCACCATCTTTTTGAGTCTGTTTTTGGAGATCCCACATAGCTCTTGTCCTGTGCTCCTCCAAGGACCCAAAGTTTGTTGTATAGTCTATGGGCAGAAGTAAGCACCCAAAGCAGCTATTCTGAGTTGCTGTTATTTCCTCTCCATTCCCCTCCTTGGGCTCATAAAAAAGTACAAGCTTTTTGTAGCACCTGAGGTCTTAATGTATATGAATACTGTGTTCAGCCTGTGCTTGCAGTTTGTTGGAAATCTAGGATTATCTCCATAGGCTTAAACRGTCTGAATGCCACACTGGCTGATCCTTTGCTTATTCTACATGCAAATTTAATATAGTGCAGGTTACTGTATCTATTGCTGCAGTGAGAGTGAGCTCCTCACGTGCTATTCTCCCTTGGTTTATTTTCTCATCCACACTAGCGAGTGAAGTTAATTAAACAGATTCCACTGGAGAACATTTGCTTGGAGACGGATTCCCCTTCTCTTGGTCCAAACAAAGAGGTAAGTCTCTCTATGGCATTTTCTCTATGGCATTTTCTCTATGGCAAGTTCATGTGCTCTTAAGAGCCTTAGCACTGTGTAACGTCCATATATACACATACTTTTTTGCTGGCCTGTTGTCATTACCAACGAAAAAGAAGAGCCACAAGTAGCTCACAAGATAGAGAAGCAATCTGTAAGTCAACACTCAGCTTCTGAGCTGACCTTATGTGACAGCTGCTCYGGTCATACACACAGATAAGTATTTTTGTCAACACCTCGAGGAACCCTGTCAGGTGTTGAGCAACGGCGGGGCTTGTTGCGTGGCCTCTCTTCTCCATGGGACCATGAGGAGCTGGGGCCTGGCTGCTGCTGAGCTGTTTTCTGGGTGAGCAGGATACCAAAGCAGAAAGCTACGCTTTCCTCTGGCTCACCAAACGTCTGGATGACCTGTGTGGTTTCGTTCTCAACACACAGAGGCCTTGATGCTCTAGGATTGTCCCGCCTGAGGAGTTGCCTGTTGGTTGATGGCTATATGGCAGTTAGTGGCATGGCTGGCCAAGATTTACCTTCTTCTGACAGTGAAAGAAAGGGAATTTTCATGGAGAATTGCTCAGCTTGCAGCTAATCTTAAACAATTTAAATCTTGCCAGGATTTAAATCCCGTGCTGCAAAAGACAACTGTTGGAAAGGGTCTTGGGAGAATGCTTGGAGTGCTTTCCCAGCCAAGGAGCAGAAAAGAGACCCTCTTGATGTCTGGCTGGTTGAATTACTGTTAAAATGATTAATGCTACTGGAATGTTAATGCATTATCCATAATGCTTTAACACAGCCAGGGGCTTGGGCAGGCATTTTTTATTGTTATTCAGTCTAAACAAAATATTCTTGCTGATTTTTAGTTAGGCCAAGGTCAGCCAGCATCTTCCCTATCAAGCAGAGTTAGACCTCTGAAGAACATGGTTCTCTTCCTGCTGATAACCTCTCTTCAGAGAGAAGCAGGGAACTTCCAGCTGTTACTAAATATTTTTTTTTTTCCTCAATAGCAAGAGTAGCAGCAWTTCTCAAGCTTGGATCAGCAATCTGTCTTTAAAAATAGAAGCACATTTCCGTAGTAAGCTCTTGATGGATCCAAAATCGTGTCCCTTCCATCTAATTCTCAAAGGATGCATGTGCATGGAATGGACGAGTTGATCCCCATATATTGGCTAGTCAAAGAGGGTTGGGAAAGTTAAGTCTTGTTATGGTGTTTTTCTTGAGTGAACAGCCTTACATTGCTGTTAACTCTTAAGTCACCCAAGACCTCCTAAGAGAATAAATGTTATCTTTGTTGTTTTGAATGGTGATCTCATGTTTTTCCCCTTGAGCATTGCTTATGTTCCTCTATAGACACAGCAGAGTGGGAGCTGTTGGCAGATGCCCATCACATTTGACTTAGTCGCTCAGGATCTCTCTTAGAGATGACTTTAAGGGAACATTTCCCCTTACATTTTTGAATTCCTCCACAGCRAGCTGATAAATGGCTCCTGTTAGTGAAAGGACTGCAGCCACCTCCCTGTTGTACAATGGAGGGAGAGACAAATGGGTATCCTCACAGTTCCCGTGTCTTTCCCCTGGCACTGGAAAGAATCTGGATGCCCAGCTCAGATGCAGCTGCCTACATTTGGCAAGGTGGATCTTACCAAGATATCTGACACCATAATACCTCTGACACCAAAATACCTACTCCAATTTGGCTTTTTTTTTTTTCTTAGCAAATGTAGTGTGACTTTTTAATCACATCTGTTCCATAGCCTTTTGTAAGTCTGGTCAATCACATCTGGTATCTGTCCCAAAGCACCGTTGCTGGTTGTCTTTTAGGAAAGAAACGAACCAGAGAACATCGGGATTGTCTGCCAGTACATTGCTGACGTGCAAGGAGTATCCGTGGAAAGAGTTCGTGAAGCAACAACAAGAAATGCCCTGAAGCTTTTCCCCAAAATTAAGCAGTATTTGAAAGAATGAATACTTTTTTTTTTTTTTTTTTTTTTTTTTTTTTTTAAAGAGAATGTTGCTTAAAGATAACACTTTGGCCACTTTTTTTCAGGCAAATGCACTTTTTTTTTGCTGTGTATAAAAGACTCAGATGGATATTACAGTTTTTCTAATATATAAATAACCTGCTCAACCCAGTAAATGAGAACCCAATAAATTTTACTTGCTGTATTTGTACATGTGTTTATCTTTTTGTACACCTACATTATTTTATGTACATAGTTTTCTTCCTTTTAGCTTTGGTAAGAAAGTCGAGGGTAAAATTCCACTAGGAATATCAAATTGATAGCCGACTGTGAAACAAAAAMCAGATGGCAGCAGAACAGAGGAACCAGATGTATACTTCTCCATCTTTTAAATGCATCAAATTATCTAAAAATGCTCATTTATTTACAATACAGCAGCCTGTGAACCTAGCGCACCTATTTCAACTATATTTTAAAATTAAGAACTCATGACTAGAGTCAGAGTATTCTTATATATTCCTGTGAATAAATTGAAAGCAGGTCATGGAAACCTCCTTTACTGTGGGCAGTYAAATTCGCCAATTGAGGTGACAAGCAAATACCTGAAGTCCCGAAAAAACTTCAGCAGGTGCTGTTTATCGAAAATGTTGGTTTTGAGGGGAATTACGGTCTTGCCTTGCGGTGAGAGTGGGCAAATCTTGCTACGATGAGGACCCCATAGGAGGAAGAGGATGTTTACAATTTCCTTGTATTTTCCAAAAGCTTTTCAATCAAGAAATGTAAACATCTGACTCCTGCATAGTATCTTTCAAGCCCAGTTTGTTGAAATTTAATACCCTGCTACAATCGCTATATCCTAGCTCRGTGGGAACTTCTCTGGTTTTCAGAGTTCTTGTTCTGAAGTCGCTTCCCATGTTACAAGAAAGCACCCRTGGCATTCCTGCCATTCAGGTTTTCCTGTGCTGTATGAGACCTTTGCATTTTAAAGGAAAACAGAGAGTTTAAYGCATTGTAAGATTAAAATTTTTGACTGTAAAGATTGAAAAACATGATCTGAAACTCGCACAAAAAAGGAAAAAACAACTGTGTACCTGATGCAATACAATACAAAAATTCTGACTTTATTTTGGAGGAAGTGTGGGTGTTTTGGCAACCTTCTACAATCACTGTCCCTATGAAGTCCCAGTTTCTTTGCTCACTTCAGATTCCTGCACTTGAGCTCTAATTTTACAAAGACTTGATGACTTTTTCTCTTTTTTCTTTTTTTTTCTTTTTCTTTTTCTTTTTTTTTTTTTTCAGGTGATAGCTTAGATAGAGTTTTAAGGGTTGGAAGGAGGAGGAAGGAAGAAGTAGCTTAGAACTAAGATCACTGAAAGAATCCAAGTAGGAGTGATAGTGAAATACACTTCTAATGGATGGGATCTCTTTATTTTGTGAAGTGCCTCGGTCTCAAAGGCAGCGTTGGAGCGATGTATCATCCGAAGATGGCGTTATCTGCAAGAAAAAATCAGAAATAGTTACAGAAATAAGTTGTTCTTTCAAGAGAAAATGTTACAGCAGGAACAATAACACCTTCCATAGCCTGAAAATTTCAAGAAAAAAATCTGGTATTTAAAGTTCTGGGCACAAGAAAATAATTACTGGGGAATCAATTAATAATAATTGTTTTCAAGTAACTGCCTGATAAATGAGACATATCCTACCCTTTTCACTGCTTCCAGGAAAATATATTTTTTTTAATGGTTGCATCTACGGAAGCAATTTCTTTCTTTGTCTCTAGTATGACTCTTCGGGGCGAGCCTAAATTCAGGCTTCAAGGGTAGATAATAAAAGGACAGCGGCAGCTTCAAGTTAAGTTTATGCTGTAAGCCTTGACATCAGTGGGGTTATTCTTAGGTTAATAAATTGCCCATGAAACGTAGATTTCATGACATGCACTTTTAGTGAACTCCTGCACGGGAGGTTTCTCACAGGACTGCTCTCTCTTGCTGTGCTATGTCCTTGGGCCCTGCTCCTCACACAAAYGGATGTACCTCAAAAATACCGGCTGTGTGAAAAATCGGAAGCATTAGGACTTTGTCTTGATGCTGTCAGTGTGTTTGGTCTTTTCCTTTCTTGTTTAGGAAGTTACTTACAGAAATAGATATCTCTGAATATGAAATCATACTGTCCCTAAATAATCAAGTTCAACCTGGCTTCACTTCACTTCACTTCACTTCACTTCACTTCACTTCACTGATCTCAGTACGGATGTTGGCAGAGCAGAATTTGACCTCATGTTGATCTGTTGTGAATAAACTTACTTCTTTCTGGAAAATGTCTCTTTTCCTTATGGTAAAGGCAGGTAACTTCTATCCAGGAACTCCTTCCACTGTCCGGCTCGGGCTCTTTTTCCCTACTGATCTCCAGGGAACCACGATTGCTTTGAGGGAAATGTCTCCTCTCGGCTCTGAGCCAGATGGAGTCATTCCGCCCTTTTACCAAACGCGCCGGCTCCTTCTCCGTGTTCAGGGCAATCACGTGCTTTTTTGCTGCCTCAGACATGGTTTGGAGAAAGGTGCCCTCCAGGCAGGAGCAACGAAACTGCGTGCGGGATTGTCAGGTCCCGGAGACGTCGGGCTGCAGCGCAGGCAAAACCTCAGCTGCGTCTGCAACACAGAACATACCCTGAGTTCTAGCCTGCATTCTGCACAGCCTCAAAATCAATGCATAATAAAGGACATAAATAAAAATTCAATGGAAACGTTTGGTTGGGGGAAATCAGATTAGAATCAACGTGTGCATGCTCGTTCAAAAGGACAKGAGTTGCTTTGGGCTCCAAAGCTACGTCTGCACCGCTCCACCAAAGGGTCTTGGCCCTTTCCCCAGGCCAGCTGGCTGTGCTGCGGTGTTGAATTCCCCGTCCCTCCAAAAGGCTCCCTGTGTGGGGACTACCAGGGCGCGCACGGGTCCCTGGCATGTGCTAATCCTGAACTATGCCGAGGCTGAAACTGCGCCATCCCAACAGCACAGAGAACTGGATTTCAGTGACCACAGTGGTGCTCTCCAACRTGCTCCCAGGTGTGCTTTTTCAGCACGTTTCTACCCGTGCGTAACCCCAGCCCGCGTTCCTGAGCCGAAAGCTCCGCTCTGCGGCTCAGCTAGTGTCTCTTTCCCTCTGCTCTGTGGCTCTGCTAGCGTCTCCTTCCGTCTCCACTGGGCTTCTCCCCACACCGACATCCTGTTTCTTAAAAAGGTGAAGCTGTGCTGGCAAGCAGCATTTCAACTTGAAGCCAGGCAGAATATGGCAGAATTTACCCTGCATCTGACTTTGAAAGAAAAAAGCAGAAATGAATCAGGCTTTTTCCTCAGAATTAATGAAAAAGGCAAGAAGGACCTAAATCTGACATAAATAACTCTGGTATTGTTTTTTAAAAGGTTTTCTGACACATATCTGTGATCTCTGAATTCAGGATTAACCTCAAGTAACCTCTAAAAATCTATGGTGCCTGCACCCATCACTACTGATGCTCAGCTGGGCACTTGGGGAAAGCAAACGCAGCYGAAACAGTATTTTGAAGTTTGTGCAAATGTCATGATGTAAATAGGAACAGGAACTGCCGTTGAGATCACCTGATATCGTGAAAAAATACTAGCTCATAATCTATGAGGAAATTTAAAGACTCAGGTAGCCTGGCATATTCTACTGCACATATGCTAACCCAGGAAGGCTCTAACAGATCTATAAGCGATTCGCAGTATTTTATTTGCTGAATGTACACCAACAGCTTTCCCACATTTCTAACATTCTTAACAAACTTAAATATTGCTTAAATATTTTTTTTTCCTAAAGCTCTTTGGAGAACAATCCATCTTCTCATTACAGTGTTGAGCTGACAACCATGGAATTGTAATTCTGGACGTGGCCTGCCGGACACCACCCCTATACACACAGGTCTCAAGGAAATAAATGGGGTTTAAGGAAAGTTTTCTTACTGGGGTAGCGTTTCGCGGCACAAGAGCACCGCACACCTGAGCTGCACCCAACTGCAGAGGATGGGCTGGAAGCAGGAATGTTTGGGGAAGGTTCCTGCTCCACGCGGTGCTCCTAGCAACACTGAGCACCGGCTACAACATAAGGTGCAGGGAGCCCCAGTTCCAATGGGGAGTCCCAGCTACAATGCAGGGTGCCGGGAGCCCCGATTCCAACTTGGAGCCCCGGTTCCAACGCGGGGTCCCGGCCGTGCTCCCTTGCGCTGGTGGCTCCTCTCTGCCCGCTACGTCCCGGGGGAGAGGGGGCCGCAGGAGGGACATGGACAGGACAGGACAGGACAGGACAGGACAGGAGGTCACCGAGCGCCAGCTGTGACCGCTCGGCCCTGCCTGCATCCGGCACACAGGCCAGGGGTGTGATTACAGGAATGGGATTACAGGAATGAGCTTAGGCCGCTGCTCCCTCCGAGATGCCTATTGTGGGGATTACGGCAGCGTCGCCCTGTTCCCACCCTCCTCAACCATCTGCACTGCAGAGACCCGAGGGCTCCAGCTTAAACAGGAACCGAAGGACTGTGAAATAAATAAATAAATAAATAAATAAATAAATAAATAAGTAAGTAAGTAAATAAATAAATAAATAAATGCTTCTTTCGGGCAAACGGGGCTGCAGCAAGAGCTGAAACAAAGAAATAACGGAGCCGCCAGCAGCCACAACCTGGCGGCGGCGGAGCCCTTCCCGCCGCGCCGCAAGGCGGGCGCGGGGCGCAGGCAGCCGCTGCAGGGAGCCGCGCTCCGCCCGGTGCCGGGGCCTCCGCTCCGCTCGGTGCCGGCGCGGCCCGGCCCAGGGGCGGTGTGCGGGGCGGGGCGGCGGCGCCGGGTGACCTTGGTGGGCGGCGGCAGCGCCGCGCGGTCCAGCACAGAGCACAGCACAGCGCGGCGGGGCTCGCTCCGCGCCGCAGCGCCGCCGGGAAGCTGGGCGCCGAGACGGGCGACATGGTGGAGGCCGGCGACGGCGCCGAGGAGGAGGAGGAGGCGGAGGGCGAGCGGGCGGAGATGCTGCTGTCGCGGCGGCGCCTGGCCGTGCTCGCCGTG